TTATGAGAAAATAGATGTAATGATAATTTTTATCATTACCAGCAGAAGACTGAATTAATGGCGGCAGCTGCTGTCGAGGTCTGCCCCAATCAGAGCAGGAATAGCAGAATGCACAGTGTGAAGTAAAACCATGCCACGCGGCTAACTTAAAATATGTTGATGGAGAGCAAGTTCTTAAAATAAATTGATATATTTGATAACATCATGGGAGTATCTTAATATTAAAATAAATTTATATATTGGATAAAATAATGGCCGGCTCTGAATATTACAATAAGTTCATATATTAGATAAAATAGTGGGCAGATCTTAATATCAAAATATATCAATATAAAAGATAAAACAGTGGGAGGATCTGCATATTAAATATGTAGATATCTTTTAGATAAAATAGTGGGCGTATCAGAATATTAAAATATGTTGATATATTGGATAAAAAAGTGGGCATATCTGAATATTAAAATATGTCGATATATATTGGATAAAATAGTGGGCGTATCTGAATATTAAAATATGTCGATATATATTGGATAAAATAGTGGGCATATCTGAATATTAAAATATGTCGATATATTGGATAAAATAGTGGGCGTATCTGAATATTAAAATATGTCGATATATATCGGATAAAATACTGGGCGTATCTGAATATTAAAATATGTCGATATATATCGGATAAAATAGTGGGCATATAGGAATATTAAAATATGTCGATATATATTGAATAAAATAGTGGGCGTATCTGAATATTAAAATATGTCGATATATATCGGATAAAATACTGGGCGTATCTGAATATTAAAATATGTCGATATATATCGGATAAAATAGTGGGCGTATCTGAATATTAAAATATGTCGATATATATCGGATAAAATAGTGGGCGTATCTGAATATTAAAATATGTCGATATATCGGATAAAATAGTGGGCGTATCTGAATATTAAAATATGTCGATATATATTGGATAAAATAGTGGGCATATCTGAATATTAAAATTTGTCGATATATCTGATAAAATAGTGGGCGTATCTGAATATTAAAATATGTCGATATATATTGGATAAAATAGTGGGCGTATCTGAATATTAAAATATGTCGATATATATTGGATAAAATAGTGGGCATATCTGAATATTAAAATATGTCGATATATATTGGATAAAATACTGGGCGTATCTGAATATTAAAATATGTCGATATATATCGGATAAAATAGTGGGCATATAGGAATATTAAAATATGTCGATATATATCGGATAAAATACTGGGCATATCGGAATATTAAAATATGTCGATATATATCGGATAAAATAGTGGGCGTATCTGAATATTAAAATATGTCGATATATATCGGATAAAATAGTGGGGGTATCTGAATATTAAAATATGTCGATATATATCGGATAAAATAGTGGGCGTATCTGAATACAAATAAGGATTGAGCTATGATTACTAGTTATAATTAGCGGATAAAATGAAAGGAAGAGGAAGGTTTAATTGTAGCAGAAATGAGTGACCATAATGATCGGATGGAGGACAGGCTGGGTGCACGGTGTCAATTATTAGTAATGGCTGCCATTCTTAGTAATATAAACACTGTATTTACACCATGGCTTGCAGAACGCTGTGACTCACTCCCACCATTACACCACAATTATACATGCCTTACTGAGCGTCTGAAATCAAATGTT